GTTAATTCTTTAGATTTCACATATAAGTGAAATCATATGGTATTTGTCTTAGCCTTAGTTCAAACAATGTAATACCCTCTAGGTCCATCCATGTTGTCAGAAATGCAAAAGATTTCATTCTTTTTAATGGCCAAGTAATGCTCCATTGTATATATGCACCACCACTTTTTTATCTACTTATCTATCGATAGGCACTTGACTTGCTTCTGTATCTCAGCTATTGTAAATAATGCAATGAACATAGGGGTGCATATACCTTTTCAAATTTAGTATTTTAGGGGCTTTTTGATACAGACACAGAAATGCAATTGCTAGGTCATAGGTAGTTCTAGTTTTAATTTCTTGAGTATCCTCCATTCTGTTTTCCACAGTGGCTGCACCAGTCTGCATTCCCACCCACAGTCACTAGGGTTCCCTTTTCTCCACATCCTCACCAATATTTGTTGATTTACTGGTTCTGACAGGTGTGAGGTGACATTTCAGTGTGGTTTTAATTTGCATTTCTGATTAGTGACGTTGAACATCATTTCATGTCTACTGGCCATCTGTATGTCCTCTTTGGAGAAGTGTCTATTTCAGGTTCTCTGTCCACTTTTTTATCGGATTGTTTTTTTGGTGGAGTTGTGTGAGTTCTTTATAAATTTTAGATATTAACTCCTGACCAGATGTATCTTTGATGAATATTCTTTCCCATTCAGGTTTTATTTTGTTGATGGTTTCCTTTGCTGTGCAAAACTTTTTGTTTGATGTAGTCCTATTTGTTTCTATTTATTTATTTTTTTTGTTTTTGTTTTCTTTGTCTAGGAAGATATATTAGGGGAAAATGTTGCTTTGATAAATGTCAGAGTTTACTGCCTATCTTTTCTTCTAGAAGTTTTATGGTTTCAAATCTTACATTGAAGTCTTTAATCCATTTTGAGGTTATTCTTGTATATGGTATAAGAAGGTGATCTAGTTTCACTTTTTTCTGTATATATGGCCCATTTTTCTAACACAATTTATTGAACAGACTATCTTTACCCCATTGTATGTTTTTGCTTCCTTTGTCATATGTTGATTTACCATATAGGCGTGGGTTTATTTCTGGGCTTTCTATTCCATTCCATTGATCTATGTGTCTGTTTTTTATGCCAGTACCATTCTGTTTTGATTATCACAGCCTTGTAGTATAGTTTGATAACAGGTAGTGTAATACCTGTTTTTCTTTCTCATGATCGCAGTGGCTATTCAGTCTTTTGTGGTTCCATATAAATTTTTGGATTATTCTAGTTGTGTGAAAAATGCCACTGGGCCATGACCAGTGTGGCTCAGCTGGTTGGGTGGTGTCCTGCAAAGCGAGTTTGACAGTTTGATTCCCATTTGGGGCACGTGCCTAGGTTGTGGGTTCAGTCCCTGGTCAGAGTGTGTACAAAAGGCAACTGATTGATGTTTCTCTTCCTCCCTTACCCTCTAAATAAATAAATAATTTTAAAAACACCATTGGTATTTTTAAAAATATATTTTATTGATTATGCTATTACAGTTGTCCCATTTTCCCCCATTCATTCCCCTCCACCCTGCACACCCTCTCCCCTCCACATTCCCGTTTTAGTTCATGTCCATGTGTCCTAAGTTCTTTAGCTTCTACATTTCTCCTACTATTCTTGCCTTCCCCATCTATTTTCTGCCTACCAACTACGCTTATTCTCTGTACCTTTTCCCCCTCTCTCCTCCTCCCATTCCCATTGCTAACCCTCCATATGCTCTCCATTTCTGTGGTTCTGTTCCTGTTCTAGTTGTTTGTTTAGTTTTTGCTTTTGTTTTAGGTGTGGTTGTTAATAACTATGAGTTTGTTGTCATTTTACTGTTCATCTTTTTTATCTTCTTTTTCTTAGATAAGTCCCTTTAACATTTCATAGAATAAGGGCTTGGTGATGATGAACTCCTTTAACTTGACCTTATCTGGGAAGCACTTAATCTGCCCTTACATTCTAAATGAAAGCTTTGCTGGATAGAGCAATCTTGGATGTAGGTCCTTACCTTTCATAACTTGGAATACTTCTTTCCAGCCCCTTCTTGCCTGCAAGGTCTCTTTTGAGAAATCAGCTGACAATCTGATGGAAGCTCCTTTGTAGGTGACTGTCCCCTTATTTCTTGCTGCTTCTAGGATTCTCTTCTTCATTTAATCTTGGCTAATGTAATTATGATGTGCCATGGTATGTTCCTCTTTGGGTCCAACTTCTTTGGGATTCTCTGAGCTTCCTGGACTTTCTGGAAATGTATTTCCTTTGCCAGATTGGGGAAGTTTTCCTTTATTATTTGTTCAAATAAGTTTTCCGCTTGTTGCGGTTCCTCTTCCCCTTCTGGTACCCCTATAATTTGGATGTTGGAATGTTTAAAGATGTCCTGGAGGTTCCCAAGCCTCTCCTCATTTTTTTGAATTCTTGTTTCTTCATTCTTTTCTGTTTGTTTCTTTCTTCCTTCTGGTCCACTCCATTGATTTGAATTCCAGTTTGTTTCCTATCACTATTGGTTCCCTGAATATTTTGCTGTATTTCATTTTGGGTATTTTTCATTTGTTCTTTAATTTTTTGACCAAGCTCAAATCAGTTTTTTGAGCATTTTGATTGCCAGGGCTTTAAATTCTCCATCAGTTAGGTTGGCAATGTCCTCACTGCTTAGTTCTGAGGTTTTGCTCTATTCTTTCATTTGGTTCATATTTCTTTGTCTTGGTGCACCTGATCAGTTGTAAGGGGCAGGGCCTTAGGTATTCACCCGAGGAGGGCAACCCTCCTTCCTGCGCTGCCTGTGGTGGAGGGGCCAGAGAGGGAGCAATGCAGCTCACCTGCTCGTCTCTAGCGCACTTTCCAACAGACTCTTGAGTCAGACTGGAAGTATTTCCCACCATGGCAGCCCCAGCCTTAGCCCACAGTCAGCTCTGAGTCTCAGTTTTCCCCTTAAATCAGTCCCTCCCATGCAGCTCTGCCAAGCTCGGCAGTCAGCCCCGCCCCTCAGCTGCTTCTCCTCGGTTTTTCTGCCTTACTGGTCTGGTTGATTTTTTCTTTAATTCCTTGGTTGTTGGAGTTCCATGCAATTTGATTTTCTGGTGCTTCTGGCTGTTTCTTGATTTTAGATTGATTGTTATCCTCTTTTTGGTTGTGTGAGGAAGCGAAGGGTTTCTGCCTATGCCTCCATGTTGGCCAGAATTGATCAGTTCTAAATAGTTTTTTGATGGACTCTTTAGGGTCCTCTACAAGTACTATGTCATCTGCAGAAAACGAGTTTTACTTCTTCCCTTCCAATCTGAATGCCTTTTTCTTTTTGGATTGCTATGGCTAGGACTTCAGTGAAAGTGAACATCCCTGTCTTGTTCCCGACCTTTATTATGTTGAGGTATGTTCCCTTTTAAAATAATTTATTTTACAGGGGAAGGGAGGGAAAGAGTGAGAGAGTAACATTGATGTGAGAGGGAAACATTGACCGGTTGCCTCTCGCATGCGCCCCGACCAGGGATCAAACCCGCAACCCAGTCGTGTGCTTTGACCAGGAGTGCAACCTGCGACCTTTCCGTTTACAGGAGGATGTTCTAACCAACTAAGCCCCACTGGCCAGGTTGAGGTCTGTTTCCTTTATTCCCACTTTGATGAGAGTTATTATCATAAATGGATGCTGGATTTTGCCAGTTGCTTTTTCTACATCTATTGATATGCTCATACAATTTTTATCTTTTGTTTCATAGAATGGTTTTAATTTTTATTCTACAGCTTATTCTGAGGAGACAAGGAAGACTTATTTTTTAAATTATTTTGTTAAAAATGAATACGTGTTTACATATTTGCTCAGAAGGTCAGTCCTTTTGGAAGGGTATGAAATGAAGTAAGTGAACTTTGTCTTTGGAGCTGAGGCTCTGTCCGACAGCCTTACCCCCTGCAGACTCTGCCACTGTGCAGGGAGACCAGACGTTGGAAGACTAGTCTCGAGGGAGCTGCTTCAGGCTCCAAACACCTCTCTAATGCATAGCAGGGTGGTATGGTGACAGAATCTCAGTAGGATTCCAGGGACACGGGAACTAGCCCTTGTCCAGGAGTGTTTTAATTTTGGGAGGAAGAGGCTGATCAACTCGGAGAAAAAGACTCTCGGGGGCCCAGGCAGAGGAGCTTTCCACCAGCATCCCCGCCCCGCCACCCCTCCCTGCCCTCACCAGGAGGGGAAGTGGGGGAACAGTGGGCAAGGCCTCTCTGCACACTGCTGGTGACACCGTTAGGTGCTTAATCATTCAAAGACTCGTGTGAGTGACCTTTAGCCCACTTTGCCTGCCTGGCCTCTGCCATGCTGCTGCCGGGGCTGTGCTAGGGCTCAGATGGCAGTCCTCCTCCCAGGACACAGCTTGCAAAAACTGCCACTATGTCGTCGCCATGTTATTTTTCTTATAAATTCAGAAGGAAACTGAACTTTCTTCTTGAATCTATGCTTTTGTCGTAAGTAAAGAAACGAAAGGCCTAAAATGCCATTTTAAACAATGAAAAGGGCAAATTTCTGCTTGATGAAGAGCTTTTAATACCCAGCCAGCTTTTCCCATTTCTGCTACCTTCCTGGCTCAGGAAGGAACTGCAGCTCATGACTCCTGCAGAGGCTGAAAAAGTTTCCTTCTGAAGCTCCAAGTAGTTGTCTTGTTTTGTTTTTGGATGTTTAAGCCAAGAAGAAAGGATGTGCATTTTCCTGCCAGGTCCTCTGCCCTGCAGTCAGGCCGGCTTTAGAATGAGAAACCCTTCATCAGGTCATTCATTACTGGAGGAACAATGTGTGTGTGTGTTAACAGTGGGGATTTCTGGGTGTTCAGCCGTGACAGTCATTCTTTCCTTCTCTTGCTCATGCACATTTTCTGCACAAACATATAATAGTAGTCAAATAAGGGAAAGGTTATCTGAAAAACAGAGGTAACCAAATTATATAGCTTTTATGACTGTGGAAACCCTGGACAAAAAAACATTGATATTTAGAAAAAAACTTCAGAGGCAAACTTGAGGGAATTTTTTATTATAAATTTAATATGGTTGATTAATGAAAAATCACAATGAAGTACCGAGAAAATGTCTGTCAATATAAAAATTTTAGCAGCATTTCCATAGTTTCAGGCTCTAACATTAGTCATACTTCTCCCTCCCACTATAAGAATCCGCTGGGACTACAGTAGAGCATCAAGATGTTCAGCTTAGTAAAGGCCTCAAGGAACTCCTCAAATCCAGTGTGTTGTCTGATATTTCAGCCTCCCCCACGCCGAATTTCTAGAGTGTCAAAGGACTCGCCTCAGAGTTTGAGACAAGAATTCCTTTCTTCCGATGGCAGGGGAGAACAGGAGTGAAAGTTAGAACTGGACTTGAGATGTAGTGCTTGGTGACGTGTCCTTAACATCTGTACATTCTCTACACTGGCGACAGTGAATGGCCACTGCGAGGCTGACCAACATCTGGCATGTGGCACCAGTGGCGGGGGCCAGTGGGCTGGGGGATCAGAGGTGGGACTCCCCCCTGATGGGGGCTGGTGCCTCGCCACACCTACTGCTCCGGGCAGGCCAGAGCGTGGTGGTCTTGCTACAGCCCAGGTAATGGCAGGATCAGTGAGGAAGGGAGACAAACGATATGAAAATATAATACTGGCAAACTATTCCCCTGCTTCTTTGGTACTTTCCAAAATTCTCTGATCAAAAAAGTATAAGGGAAGCGCACACCATTAAAAAATTACAGTTTTAAGTATTTACAGAAGCAATTATAATATATTACAAACCAATACACAGTATATGAACAGACTCCTCAGTGAAAGCACTTGTGAACTCTGGTTCCAGTATTACTCAACAGCACTCCGACATGCGCACAACCCTCCCGGATTTGTACCATCCACCCTGTATTTCAGTCATCGTACAGTAAGTTAGATGGGAAGAACAGCATTTCCAAACTAGGCTTTCCTTTTAAAAGGTTCTCAAAATTTGCCACTGAAATCACTATGTACAATGATTTGTTGAATATTGCATTCTAGGCAATTACCTCCACTCCCATTTTGAATATATTTGAAATAATGATACCTATTCTATGTATACAGTATATATATATATTTAATATATAAGTAACTGCACCACGTTATATCACCACAATACCAGTTTAATGCACATTACTATGTACAGTAGTTAAGTTAGCTCTGGAGGATGCCTCTACTGCCTAGGTGAGCAGTGTGGTTTGGAGCCACCTGAAGGAGCATGGAGAAGCTGGTGAGAAAGAGCCCGTGCATGGGCGGGATGCGTGGACGTGCGTGACGTGCGGGCACATGCCTCCCACACGTCCCCACGCCAGACTATCCCTTGTTTGCTGGTTGGAAGGGGACACATCACACGTAGGGGAGGACCCCATACATGAGGAGAGCCATGACAGCAGCGCTGAACAACCCAGCCACGGGGACGGTCACGAACCAGGCCACGAAGATGTTCCGGAAGAGGTGCCAGTCCACGGCCTTGCGGGAGCGGATCCAGCCCACGGCCACCACAGAGCCCACCTGCAGGAGCACAGACGTTTAAAGTAAGGAGAGGCCCCCAGACTGTGAGGCACAACACAAAGTCTACATCAAACCAGTGTGAACTGGATCATCTTCAAATTACATTATAAAGTTACCAATTCCCTTAAATTTGCTAAAAGTTTCTGAAATCATTTAGATTTTAGGTATAATTGCTTCAGGACAATTCAGTATACAGATCTGATGCACTTTCCCACCTATATATTCCTCTCTGAGTGGAACTTTGACCAGTTAAATGTTTCCTCTGCCCTCTGTACCTTATAAACTGTGATTGCCCCTGTTTTAAATACTCCCCATGTCGGATATTGCTTACTACAGTATGTGAACCTGCTTGATTACATAATGAAGCGGCAATTATGTACCCTTCTCTTAGAATAATAGCATCATAACACGTGGGAGCTGGGGAAGACCTTTGAGACTATGAGACCAGGTGCTCGTGTTCCAGAGGACAGAACCGAGCCCTCGATGGCTCAGGGGCACCAGCAGACACTGTGAACCACAGCAGACTGAGGACTAGGACTCAGGCCTCGACTTTAAACTGGGTTTCTCCACTTTCTCAAACTGCCTTGCAGTCCTTGCACTTGAGTTAATTTAAAAAAATAAAATAAAATGGAGCATGAACATTACTGAATCTAAACTGTCAAGCCTCACAGAATCATGACAGAGATACTTGAAAATTAGAATATTAATACTAATTCAATTTTTCTATAAATGAACTTTCACTTCATTTTATGGTTTGTTGAAAGTCTAAAAAGGAAAAGAAAAAGACACTTTAAGTGTCCTAAAAATCCGAAGAAAGTGCAGTGTCTGTAATGCCTCCCACCTCACTCAGGCTCTGGGGCAGCTCCGAGATTAGCAGGGCGGTGGCCGCTCTTGCAGAAGAGCCCCGTGAGGACGCCTGTGGCTGACGCCTGCAGCCTGCAGAACTGGCCGTGGCCCGTGAGGCGCAAACAGCACCCGGGTCTGACCACGGAACAAATAAAACCCAACACTTTAAACTGTTCGTGGAAGCAAACGGGGACGCCAAAAACACAGCATATCTAAAGGCAGTTAGTAAATCTGACATTTTGTTGGCCCTCTAGCTTCTGAGATTCAACTCGTCCCGTTACTCGCTGTCTCCCCAGAACTGACCCCAGCAGTGCGCCTCGGCTGCTCTGCAGGACCGCAGTCAAGGGGAGCGCGCTCCAGCTTCCGTTCCACCCACTCCCCCTCCCTTTCCCAGAGCACTCTCCCCATTAGCATTTTATTTATTTTGTAATTATATTTTCTCTATTGCTATTTATCCCCCTCATACCCTGTTCTACTTCCACTCACCCCTCTATCCCAGGACACTTTTTTAAAGCATAAAGGTAATAAAATAATATTAGGGCAAGTTTATGTAATAGGAGATATGGGTAACTACCCAGAACCCAACTACTGTCATATTTATCTGTTCCTTTTCAGTATTTTTAATAAAAACAAGAACACCTTCACTTGTAAACAGTGGGGCATGCTGCCGTGTCCTTTCTGTGAACAGTGCAGGGCGTCTTCCCGCAGCCACTACGATCAGCACGTAAAGGCACACGCGTGTTAGGTGGGCGCGCCTTCACTACTCATCCGACCATTTCCACCCTGCTTCCTATTTCCCCCCATTAGAAAGTCATTTCATGACCAACATTCACTCATGTAGCTTATATTTAGGCTTTTAAAAATGTGCCTTGAAATGGATTACTTGTTAAAAGGGGCATTTTAAAAACACCTTGAAATAACATGAAACTTAGGGAAAGCTGCAGGAACTTCCATACACCCTTTACCAAAATTCACTGATTCTTAACATTTTGCCCCAGTCTATAAAGAAACATATTCATACCATTAAAATACACTGCCTCTCATCAAACCGCTCTTGCACTCTGCTAAAGACCTAGCACCCTGATCTTTACTCCAGCGCCTCACCCACAGTCTCTCTTCAGGAAGACCTGTTTGTTCCCTCGTCCATTCTAGGGCCTAGTACCGGCTGCCAAATAGCTTTACAAACAGATGTAAAGAAAGACACAAGGTCATCCACAGTCTTTCCTTTTTAGATCATTTTATGTTCTTGCCGATTTAACCTACCAAATTAACTTAAGATTCATTTTGTAAAGTTGTAAAAAGTAAATTCGGTTGGCGCTGTATTTGAGGAGAACGGACATTTCCCAGCCAATACCAACACGTCCCTCACAACGCTGTTCCCCCAGTGTCCCCCCCCCCCCCAGGAAGCTGAGTGTTTCCAGCCTAAGGCCATCATCAGGCACGAACAGCAACAGAGTTACTGAGAAGTAGGGGGACAAGAGGACAAAATTAGAAAATTAGAAATATAATCCTAAAACTTTAAGTCAGTCGTGTTTCCTGTAAGCTATTCCAAATCCAAAGGCAGGCTGAGTAACCACCTGCATCTATCATCGATAGGAACAATGTGGTTAATTCCTGGAAGGGAACGGTCCCAAACCAGCCCGACACGGAATTAGGACGTTTTGGATAACGCCACTCTGACGTCCTATTAAAGAGTTCACAGAGGACCATCTGTATCAAATACTGGTACACTTCGAAGGAAACAGGAGTAAATGACGTCTACCCAGATACATTTAAAAACCTCATTGTACACAATAGTTTCCACCTTTCTTTCCTGCCAAGTTCCCAACATTTCCCCACCTTCTAACGGAAACTATTGCTGCCAGTGCCTAACAAGTAGGTGGGAGAGGAAGCAGAGAGGCGGAGAAATCAAATGCAGGGCCTAATTATCTGGAAAACCTGATGGGATTGTTAGGCTTTTATGTGGACATCGACAATCTGAATGTTTCCAGATTCCCAGCTTCGCTCACATGGGGCCTCATCCCTACTGCCATCCCATGCCTCCCACATCTGCCAGGCGGGGGCTGCTGAGAGCAGACGGAACTCCAGGAGCAACAGTGTCTTACAGGGGGATGGCACCTGTGAACTCTTCTTAGCACTCCTGTCGTCTGGACTTGGAGGAGCGTCTTTGTCCACTGACCGCTCCTGAGAGCCAGGGCCCCGGGCCTCTCACTGCCACAGTAACTAGCTCTGGGCTTTGTCCAGAGGCCCATGATCAGTGACACTGGACAAACGGACTGGAATCCAAGCTGAGCTCTGTCTTGAGCCTCGTTGATGGATGACGCCCACTGTGATCCATGTCAAGGTAACTTGTTTCAGTGCCAACAAGCGTTTTAACACTCGTCTGCAGCTCTACAGACACAAACCTATCACGTGATTCGTGCAGCTTCTAGGGCAGTGATAACGCACTGACTCACCAAGGTCCCGCACAAATGGATATAAATCTTTGGTACCACCTCCTTATTTTAGTGAGAATAAAAATATTGGGGGAATGACAGTCAAAGATAACTACCTAAGAATGTAATTTTATAGGCATTTTATACTTCTCATTTTTATCATATTGCATTATAGAATGTAGTTTTATTAGCAAAATTAGCAGGCTTGGTCATAACACTTCACCCTATAGAGCAGTATAAGTTAGCTTATGGATATAGTTTGGTAAGTAACAATAACAACATAGAAAGATCAAACTTGGGCTGTTTTTTCCAGAGATCTTTCAACTGGTATAAAAATGTTTGCCTTCATCCTGGCTGGTGTGGCTCAGTGGACAGAGCACCGGCCTGCGAACCAAAGGGTCACCGGTTCAATTCCCAGATCAGGGCACATACCTGGGTTGGGGGCCAGGTCCCCAGATGGGGGCGTGTGAGAGGCAACCACACACTGATGTTTCTCTCCCTCTCTTTTTCCATTTTTTCCCCTCTTTAAAAAAATAAATAAATAAACCCTTAAAAAAAAAGTTTTCCTTCACTAGACTTCCTCAAGTGCAGGGTTAATCATTAAAAAGACAGTGTAATGCTTATTTTCAAGCAGCCCCAAAGACTATTTATGCCTACAAAAAAGTTCAAGCCCCATTTCCTGGGGAAAGAATATATTTGGTTACATGCATTTCCTCTGGGCTCCCACACGACAGTGAAGCAAAGCCGAGGTGGAGTGTGGGGGGAGATGCTTGCTGTTCATTCCACATGGTGGTGTTCGACGTGCTGCAGTGAACACGTGCTCTTTTGCAATTTTTAAATAACCGCAGCTAGAAAAGTCAGGACAGCTGGAGTACGGCAGGGGACAGCACCTGCCTGTCCTTGCCTCCCTCCTCTGTACTGGAGAGGTGGGGGGCAGTGCGCCCGAGAGCAGGCGTCGGGCTGCACGTGTCCACATGCTGGACAAGTGGCTTAACCCCTCACACTTCAGCGTCCTCGTTGGTAACACAGGCGTACGTTAGCACTCGCCTCCAAAGGTCTGGGGGAAGACTGGGCAGTTAGTTATTCACAGTGCATCTAAACGGTGCCCAGCAGGGTGCCTGCCCACGCATCTTAGTTGCGACTGATTACCGCAATTATGATTATGATGACCAGGAGGTACAGAGTGTGAGGTGACGGTCTGATGGCTCTATCACATGCTAAATGCATGACCTTGGGAAAGCCACTGAACGCGGGGAGCCTCCGTTTTCTTATCTGTGAATTGGGAACGTCAAGACCAACTTCAAAGGGTGGCCATGGGGACTAAATGACATTTTGCACATACAGGGGTGGGCAAAAGGAGGCTTACAGATGTGAGCACATGAAGCAGAGTTTATTTTGTATTACTTATTTACTATCTATTGTATTATTTATTTGTATCTTTATCTTCTTATTGTTATTATTTCACATCCTTACTTACGATGTATCTTTTAAGTAACGATGGCTGGTAATTTACCTACTTTTGCCCATCCCTGTATAAAGCACTAAACACAGTGCCTGGCACACTCAGTATAGACGCAGTCAGTGGAAGTAAATTTTACAGTGAAATTTGCGGAAGCTGAAGTTACTCTATATTCGTTAGCAAAACAGAAGGAAAGGAAAACAAAACAAAATGAAAACTGTTCCCGGGAGGCTGATTCTCCGTGCTGCAGCGCTCCAGTTTGCTCAGCTGGCCCACTGAAAGTACTCCCACGAACCTGCCTGGTCATTCATGTTTGCTTAAGAACACACTTGATTGGAGTTTTTAATTGTGTGTAAATGTAGATGGTGGTTGGTCACTGGTGCTTAAAACAGTACCTCACACACAGTAGGTACAAAGGAGTTTTACTTTAAAAAAAAAGAAATCTATTTTTGAAAGAGGGGAAGGAGGGAGAGAGAGAAACATCAATGGGTGGCTGCCTCTCACACGCCCCTGACTGGGGACCCGGGCATGTGCCCTGACTGGGCATCGAAGTGGCGACCCTTTAGTTCACAGGCCAGCACTCAGTCCACTGAGCCACACCAGCCAAGGCCTAAGGAAGTTTTCTTGAATGATACAAGCGAAAAAATAAAAATCAAAATCTGCAGGTGACTTTTGCTTTGTTGAAGTTAGGGAATATTTTTGTCTATAGGTGACCCATCAGAGATGTTTCAGAGTTTTCCAGACCTGGGTTATCAGACCTGGGCTCTAGTCCTGGCTCCACCGTGAGTGACCATGGATAAACTGCCTGATACCCATGAAGCGTGAGTCCTCTTCATTACCTTTAAGGTTTCTTACAGCTCCAACATTCCACCCTACAGCAAGGAATTCCCTCTCGCATGGCCCTGAGGTTTAAAGCCCCCGGCAGAGGGCAGCACTGCACATTAACCCTCATTTGGGTTCACTCGAAGGCAGTGCCGTCACTCTGACCGTCATATAAGGAAAAAGAACTGAGACGACTGCGTATTACAATTCCGTCGAGATGGTTCTGCTCATCTCTAGATCCACTGTCAACTCCCAGGCCCTTGCAATGGGTTGAACTGAGTGGCATGCCCCATTTGAGCCTACGAATATGATTAACACACACATGACTTCAACGCACAATCCACGTGGAAACAATGACAGAGAAACAGGACACATGGAAAGAGTGAAGCACATACCGAAGGAGGGAAAGCACTGCCAGGCATGTGTGAAAACACCATGTCCACACGACCGCAGGCGTGGTCGCACTGTGAGTGGCGAGGGCCAGGGCGAGGGGGACCATCCGAGAAGAGCAAACACCCCCACGTCCAACAATGTGTGACTGAGCACTCCCAGCAAACCGGGAGGGGATGTTTTTTCATAAACAACAACACACAGAGTGCGACAAGCTCTTCCCAGAGTCACTGGGTGACGGTGGACCAGTCCCAGCTGCTTGAAGGAAGGACCACACGGCAGGGGCCTACCTTGCAGTGCGTGGTGCTGACGGGAAGCCCCACGTTGGAGGCGATCACCACCGTGAACGCGGAGGCCAGTTCGATGGTGAAGCCGCTGTGGGGGAGACAGGAGACACATCACAGGCGCCCTTTGTATCGGCCCCGCAGACACCCCAGGGCTGCCGAAGTCTCCCCGGAACCTCCTTTCAATCAACTGTCGGCCTCTGGCAGGGCCAGATGACACAAACAGAACAAGAAACGGCTGTACAATGACAACGATTCACACCAAGGCTCGGCACTGCACTGTTTACAGCCCCAAAGAGCCTTATTTTTCTGGAATGTTTTCAAAACCCACACACTGTTGTAAGTGGGTCAGAAATTCCTGCTGTGTAAAAAATGGTCACTTGTCATTTTTAAACTGGCATACAAAAAACTATACTCTCATTTGAAAAATGTGTTCTTAATACCAAAAAGTGAATTTTCTCAGATTACTAATTTTTCATGAAGTCAATTTTATAAACGAATTATTAAAATTAATATCATAAGGGAAAAGATTTCTTACGATAGGTAGTTTCAACTTTTCATTGTATCCTTCTAAAATTCTCCTGTGAGTTTGTTATTTAACCCCCAATCTACCTAAAGATTAGAAAAAAGGACAACAGGAGTACGCAGACCCTCTGAGCGGGACCCTGCCTCAGAGAGCAGCGGCTGCTGCAAGGGGAAGGGAGTGCCAAGGAGCCCCAGAGGGGTGGCGGGTGAGAGCTGCTTCCCTCCACTAGGTGGAGCTGGTGTGGCAGAGAATTTTCGGGAAAGGCACTTGCTCCCCACTTGCTCTCAGGAGCACACGCTGGGCAAGACCACCAGTGGGAGAAGATGGGGGGCTGCCAGGTGGTTCTTTTTCTCTTCCCTTCTGTTCTGCTTCAGCTTTTCCTTCCTGCTATGTTCCCACCCCTCTAGTTTTATCTCGCTTATCTCAGTGCCACAGTGGACAGGGCCCAAGAGTGCCTGAGGGAGGGCGATGATGGGTGGCCTGCGAAGGTGGGGTTTGCTTACCCTCCGCCCCTCCCCACTGCGACTCCCAGCTGCAGAGTGGCTGTGCTGAGGGGCCGGGCATACCAGCAGCATGAGAGGGCTCAGACTTATCGACTGTGCACGGCCTCCAAGGGCCAGCCCTGCCAGTCCAGCCTGCAGCCCCTGGCTTACCTGGATGGCGTGATTGGAGTGAGGTCCTTCCCCATGGTCTGGATCACTCTTCTTCCCCAAACCCAGAGCCCTGTGCAAATCCCGACTCCTCCGTAAAACAGCAGCCAGACAGGCGTAGCTGCTTCTTGCAGGACTGCACCTTGTTCGTAAATCAGCCACAAAGCTACCAGGGGACCGATGGCATTACTGGGAGAATGAATAAAGTAGATGAGTTACACAAACGCTGTACGGACAGACAAACGGCACACTGTACACAAGACTTCTCAGTCTTGAGAACAGCCCTTCTCACTGTGGTTGTGGCTTGCCTATATAATCTAGTGGTAATAAAACAGCTTTATTAATTTTTTCATTGTGGTAAAAAACAGAAAACTTACCATTTTAGCCACTCTTAAGTGTGCGGTTCAGCAGCGTCAAGTACATTCACATTATTGTAAAACAGTAGTACTCCAGAACATCTTCATTCTGTGAATCTATGACCCTACAGCCATTAAACGATAACTCCCTTTGCCCCCTGCCCCCTGCCCCTGGAAACCACCATCTTGCTCTCTGTTGCTATGAACTTGATCACTCCAGGTACCTCATATAAGTGGAATTACACAGTATCTGTCTTTTGAGACTGGCTTATTTCATGTAGTGTGATGTTTTCAAGACTCATCTGCATTGTAGCATGAGTTAGAATTTCCTCCCTTACTTTAAGACTAAATATGCCACTGTGAGGACACACCACACCTTCTTTATCCACGGACAGGCACGTACTGACAGATGGTCCACCTCTTGGCTACTGTGAATAATGTCACAATAAACAAACATCTCTGAGACCCTGCTTTCTAACCAGAAGTGGGGTCGCCAGATCTTAAGGTAGATGGACCCTGCAACCCTGGTGCATCAGGATGTCATTCTAACCAACTGAGCTCCCCGGCCAGGGCCTATAGTAGCCACCTTGATATGCAAGGGACTTATTATGCTAGATTTTTAGAGATACTGTGCTGAAAAATCACAAGAAGTGGACACACAAACCAGGTTCTTTTTACTCCTTCCCCCCACCTCTATTTCTTTCCACTTCCACTGCCAGCACTGCTACTAAGATTAGCTACCAGTTACGGCCGCCATGTTGGGCCCCACACTGTTGGACCACAAACGCTGCTAATCACTAGTCTTCACACCCACCCTGCGAACTAGGTGCTGTCACTCCCACTTCACTGACGAAGAACTGACTCTTAAGTCACATCACCAGCAGGAGGCAGGATCAGGGCATGAGCTTGGGAGTGACGCAGGAGCTCATGACCTTTCCCCAAGCCTGCTACCGTATGTCCTTTCTGGGGAGAAGCTACAGCTCTCTTTTTTCTCCAAATTTGTAATTAAGGCCTTATTCCTTTAGAGCAATTTAAGGTTCACAACAAAACTGAAGTGAAGGTGCAGAGACTTCCCATATAATCCCTGCTCCCAGCCATCACAGCCTCCCTCATTATCAACATCCCCAGGATGGGAAGAAGTGACAACTTGACAGGACTGAGTCTTCCTCACCTTGAACATGAAAAATATCTCCATTCATTTAGTTTTTCTTCAATTTCATTCATCAGTTTGGCAGTTTTCCCCATGTAGATAGATCCTTACATATTTTGTTAGATGTATAACTAAGTATTTCATTTTGAGGGATGCTAATATAAATAATATTGTGTTTTATTTTTTATTTATTCCTTTCAGGACACAGAGTTTCCTTTACATGTTTTTTTTTTTTTTTTTGTGGGGAAGGAAACTACACTTCGATTCAATTAACAGAAACATTTTTAACAGTGCAGAGTCTTTCCTTTTTTTACGCTTATCTCGCTATGATTTCAACAAGAACAGGTTCTAGCAGCTCGGGCTCCTTGCCACGGGTTCTCACACAGTGGTGTTCTGGGTGGAGCAGGCTGGTGCTTCAGCTGAACCCAGGTACCCTTCTTTGTGGCTTCCTTCTCTGTCTGATCATTTTCCTTTACATATTTCAGGCAGCTATCTTGGTTCTTAGAGTGTTTAATATGCTCAACATGTACATTAATTCTCATGGCAAGAATCTTGCCCTTGCTTGTTGACAACAGTGCCTGTTGCATGCTGGGTGACACTGCGGGCTCTTCCAGTTTTGCCACTATAACATTTGTGGGACACTCCTTTTTTTAAATGGATTTTTCCAATATCATTTAGTCCTCTTATACCTCCCCCACCCACCAGGGGGCACTCCTTTTTGAACAGTGCCCCTTCCCCCAATGTCTACAATATCATCTTTCTTGTAGATCTGCATGTATGTGGGTGGCCAAAGGAACAATTCCACATTTTCCAAAGGCCTAAAGAACATAATGGGTGCCTCTCCCCTTTTCCTTTGTGTTAGTCATTTTGGTGAATCACTGAAAGATGGCAGTTGCAGCCAAAAAGCAGCAGTATTGTGTTTTAAATTTCAAATTCCATCTGTTCACTGTTGACATGTGCAGAAGTGATTTTTCTATATTAACCTTATATCCTGCAATCTTGTTATAATTGCTTGTTAGTTCCACAAAAAGTTTTTGTTGATTCTTTCAGATCTCTACATAGATAATCATGTCATCTGTGAACAAAGACAGTTTTATTTCTTCCTTCCTGATCAGTGTATTTTTTTATTTCCTTTTCTTGTCCTATTGCATTAGCTAGAACTTCAGTTAAGGTGCTGAAAAGGAGTGATAAAAAGGGACATCCCTGACTTGCTGATCTTAGTGGGCAAGCCAAGTTTCTCATCATTAAATATGTTAGTTGCAGGTTTTTTTAAGATATTCTTTATCAAGTTGAGGATGTTCCCCTCTATGCCTAGTTTACTGAAGGTTTATTTTTTTTAATCATAAATAGGTGGTAGATTTTGTTAAATGCTTTTTAAAAATTGACTGACATGATCATGTGACTCCTGTTTTACATTTGATGGATTACATTAATTGAATTTAGTATGTTGAACCAGCCTTGCATACCTGGGATACATTTCACTTGGTTATGCTATATAATTATTTTATACTCTGTTGGATTCACTTTTCTAATACTCCGTTGAGGATTTTTACATCTACGTGCATGAGAGATACTGTTCTGTAGTTTTCTTTTCCTCTAGTATCTTTGTCTAGTTTCAGTAATAGGATAGCATTGGCCTTGTAATTGTATAAGTTAGGAAACTGAGTTAGGAAGGATTCTCTGTGCTTCTGTCCACTGCATGAGATCACAGGGAATTGGTATATTGTCCTGGATTCATAAGCAAACCCTGGTGCTTTCTGTTTTGGAAGACTATTAACTATCGATTCAATTTCTTTAACAGATATAGGCTTATTCAGATGGTCTATTTCTTCTTGTGTGAGTTTTGAGGTTGTTTAATGCAAGGAATTGGTCCAATGTCATCTTCATCATCAAATGTGTGGGCTTAGGGTACTGCTTTATCTTGTTAATGTCCACAGGATCTAGAGTGATGCCTCTTCTTCCATTCCTGTCACTAGTAACTTGTGGGCTCGCTCTCTTGTTTCTCATTTAGCCTGGTCAGAAGCTTATCAACTTCACTGATCTTAAAAAAATCTTTGGTTTCATTGATTTTCTCTATAGATTTCCTGATTTCAATTTCATTGATTTCTGCTCTTACTATTTATTTTATTCTTCTTACTTTGGATTTGATTTGTTCCTTTTTTCCTAGTTTCCTAGAATGAATATTTAGATTATGGGTTTTTTAAAATTCTTTCCTAATAAATGTATTTAATGCTATACACTGTCCTCCAAGCCTATTTTGCTGTATCCCACAAATATGTTTTTATTTCCATTTAGTTTAAAATATTCAAAAATTTCTCTCAATATTTCTTCTTTGATCCATGTGTTATTTACATGTGTGTTATGTAATCGCCACAGATTTGCAATTTTCCAATTATCTTTCTTTCTTGGTTTGTAGCTTAATTTCATTGTGGTCTGACAGCAGACACTGTATTCGTTCTATTCTTTTCAGTGTATTCAGGTGTGTTTTATGGTCTGGTTTGCTGAATGTTTCATGCAAGCTTGAGGAGAATGTGAATTCTCCTGTTGTTGAACTCTATAAAAGTAAGTAGTATACAGTTGACTGATGGTGTTGTTGAGTTCAACTATATCCTTACTGATTTCCTGTCTGCTGGATCTGTCCCTGTCTGCTCTGTCCAAAATTAATACAGTTAGCTACTTCTGCTTTTGTTTGATTAGTGTTAGCCTATTTTCCTCCTTCCACTTACTTTTAACCTGCATGTGTCTTTAAAATGCGCTTCTTTTAGGCAACATATAGTTAGGTCTTGTTTTTTGATCCAGTCTGACAATCTCTGTCTTTTAACTGGTACATTTAAACTGACATTCACAGTGATTTTGACATACCTGGATTAATATCTATCATGTTTATTACTGTTTTCTATTTGTTACCCTTGTTCTTTGTTCTGTTTTGTCTTAACTGAATATTTTTCATTATTCCATCTTCTCTCCTTTCTTAGTGTATCAGGTGTTCTTCTTTGTAACTGTTTCTAGCCCTGGGTCCCCCTGGAGTCTTTGAACCCTCAGAGTTGTCTCCACTGTGCCTGTGGGAATTCCTGTGAGCGCTCAGGTTTTCCCGTGCACACTGGTTCCCACAGCAGCCCCCACTCAGGAGCCTCTCCTCTGTGACTCTCTGCATTTGAATGTGTCTCCGAACTTGGGGGCCGGGGTTTGCCCTGTGTCCTCCTCGCTCTTCTGGGTCCAAAAAAATGGTTGTTGATTCTTCGGTCTGTCCAGGTTTTCACCTGGTTTTAGGATGGGGCAGCAACTCCCAAGCTCTTCATGTGCAGAACCAGGCACGGGCTCCGAATGGCCTCTGCAGCCCAGTCCCCTCCTCTTGCCCCAGTCTGGGCTCCCGCGGACAGAGTGTGGGGGGAGAGGGACAGGAATGGGCTCTGAGCCCGCTTCTCTCTGGCTGTGTCATCCCCGGGCAAGCACTGCCCCATTTCTGAGATTCCAAGTCCCTGTCTTTGACGGACACCACCGATAACCTCTGATCCCCGGAGAAGGATCAGAGTGAGTTACAAACGGCTTCGCTCTCCCGTGTGAGGGACGAGTGCAAGCCCCTCCTCGCTGTCCCAGCACTAGTCCCAGAACACTGCTGCTGTCAGACCGCATCCCTACTCGAAAGCCTCAAAACCAGCCCCAAACTGTACGCAAGTGCTCTCAACTCTGGTCAGCCGTGGGAGTTCCCACCTAAACTCTCCTTTGGCCTTGAAATACTGTTTTGGGGTGGTTTCTTACTTTTCCATCGGTACGCATTTCTATCTCCCTAACTGGAATCTAACTCCTGAAGGACAGGGACCCGATTCCTAACACTTCCTCAGTACCAGGCCTTCAATAAAGAATGCCTGACAAAGAGGATGAGGAAGTGGGTGGGTCTGGGGACAGGCGTCAAAAAATTAAAGCAGGGCCAAACTCGGCACCTTAAAGAAAACAACACGGCAAGACCCGTCTAATACTGAGCAGAACAAAAGATGTCCAGGCCTCTTGTCTGGTGGAAAGGCTCCGTGAAAAAAGACCAGAATGCACTCGGCACTCGCATGCGGACAGGCAGTGTGCAGAAACCCACAGCTGAAAGCGGGCTGTCATATAACTGGGCAACAAAAAAGGCAACAACAGCATGTTTTCCTGATTTGGACAGAAATTCTGGCCCTGCATAAAACTTATAATAATAGTGAAAATGTATAGAAACTGACTATAGAAGGAACACTGTCCTAAGCACATTTATAAAGCATCTCACTTAATCCTCATGAAAGCCCTATGAGGTTGGTATTAATTTTACCCCCATTTTACAGACTGGGATACCGAGGCTTTGGAAAAACCAAGTGACTTGTCACTAACTAGGAAAGACAGTAGGGGCTCTCTATATATCCGTACGTATTTCCTACACGTTCCAGGACTCCATGACCTGCTAGCCATACAGTCTACAGTCTCCCTCTGTGGTCTCACAGCTCTTCCTAGAATACACCAGACACATTCCTGCCTCAGGCCTTGGCACCTGCTGTTCCCTCTTCTGGAAATGCTTTTCCTGCAGATGCTCACATGGCCGGCTCCCTTCACCCTTTCAGGTCTCACTTAGCGAGTCCTGACCCGAGCAGCCTATCTAACAGTGTAGTCTCCAGCAGTTCCAGTCCCCTTCCAGTTTATTTTCCCCTTGAACATTTATCACTGTCTAGCCTATCACATGTGCTACTTCATTTCTCTGTTTATTGTTTGTCCCCCACCCCTACCACGACTGGTAGGGACTTCTGTCTGTGTTGTTCACTGCTGTATCCCAGTGCCCAGAATAGCGCCTGACGCGTGGCAGACCCTCAACACATACTTGTTCAATGACCGCTGTCCTTACCTCACATCATTGCCACCATGTGCAAAGGATCCAAAACAGGCAGTAAGCACCTGCAGAAAATGGAACAGGAGGTGGACCTCGGCGGTGTCTTTCTCTTCCTTCTCTTCTTCTGCAGGGTCCTCTCGAGGCTGGTCAGGATCTGTCAGCTCAGACGCCAGCTTCATTTCCACACCTCCCTCCTCTGCCTCTATCTCCGCTTCAGCTACTGCGTTGCAGTAGCTTGAGTAGCTGTCATAGCGAAGTCTCTTTTTAGAATAGGACACGGTGTCACCCACCAGCTTTTCACTGTCCTCTGTTGCAGACGAGTCAGCGGCTTTGAAAGTCGAGTGGACCGGCATCCCGCAGATGGCCGCGGTGTAGCAAGTGTAGCTGTTGTTCCGCCGCAGCAGCCTGTAGCTGTTCTCCTGGGCGGGCCGCTCCTCTGGGCCCCGGTCCGAGTGGATTTTGTGCAGCAGGTCTTTGTAGAGCCCCGAGTCCTTGTGCACGGTGTGGTACACGTGCCCGTCACTCCTCCTGTGGCTGTCGAAGCCGAACGTGCCATTGGAGATGGGCGATTTCACGGAGCTGGGCGTCATGGAGAGTGCCCTTCCTGGGAAGGGTTAAAAGGAGGCTCATTTTCTAACCTGAATGTAAGTCACGTCTAGAAGGACACAGGCCCTACTGTTTCATAACGGTAATCTCAGTGAGGCTGGATCATTATGAGGATTCAGATTTTTTCCCACATGCCTATTTTCTAGTTGACTATAAAGGATATGTAACATGATTAAAATAAAAAAGAAACTTGGAGACATACTATAAAAGGGTAAAACCGATAATGATACTTTTAAAATAATGTGGTTTAAGTTCTAAAAAGTGTCTTCCAGAAATTACTACAGCGTTCTTCACAATTTCTAATAATTAATAGAGGGAGAATCCTTATGAGGAACATATTTCAGAAAACTTCATACATAAGGGGCAAAAGCCAGTTCCTAAGGGACTCATTTTAGAACACGTGATGTGTGAGGGCAACCCCAGCCTGCTGTGAGGCAGACAGTCTAGGTGCTCCTTAAAAGGCCAACCACGACTCTCAACGGCCGTGTCTCTCAGATCTGCGGGGCAAACTTAACTCGCTCTCTCCGGGCCAAATCGGAGACCACGCCTGCGGAGAGTGGGAACCAGCGCCCCACCCGGGGGAGGCGGAAGCTGCCCGCACTGGCCTGGCAGAGGCTGGCCCTCGCCCGTCATCGCCTACACAAGTTACGGGACAAAAGGACACCCCCAGAACAGTCCTGCTGTCCACTGAGGTTTCTGTGATTCTCTGGTGGGAGCCGCCGTGGCTCCGGTTTCAGCTTTCCCTTCGTGTCTCTCACGAAAAAGTCTCCTTGTGGAGCCGGACGAGCCAACCTTCAGCAGCGAGGACACTCTGCAGCACGGAAGCTTCACACGCACAGCTGGGCGGGCTGCACGGAGGCGCCGTGTGCACCCCTGGCGCCACTGATAAGACCATAAATAGTGCTTGGAAGAAAAGCACAGGACAAGAGTAGGCCTCCCGAGCACCTGGGTTTTCTCAAAACATAAAACCGGGAGACACTTTTGTGCACTACAACCTAAGGAATGGCTCTCTGCCACCAGGCAAGCCCAAACCCTCTGCGTGGCTCTTACCATAAGAGGCCCGGGGGTGGCTGCCCACTGATGTGCCTTCTGGGGCCACTGGCATCTCCCCGGCTGGCCCCGTGAGAGGGACGGTGCTGTCGTCATTTGCCTTGGCACCTGGTAGCTCTTTAAATACTGGGGACTCCGCTTCCTGAGTTTTATTGAGGCTTTCATCAGAGACTCTCGACAAAGCACCTTCTTTTTGTAATTTGCCTAAAGAAAATACAGTCATAGCTGAACATTTTGGAAGCCTGCTTTTTATTAAAAAATAAGTATAAAAAATAAATACTTACCTTTATACCTCAGTACTTACTTTGGACATGAAACAAAAAATTTATAGCTAGATAGAGAAAATGAAGTAGAGAGTTCAATTGATTATCGGGGAAACTTAAGGCAGAAAATTCAGCTACTGAGGAAAAGACAGGGGCATGGGGCCTGAACTAGGTCATGAAAACCCAGTAAAACAGTAAGGGGTACATCTGATCCCCAGGGCCCCTGTTCAGGGCTAACAGCCTGTAACTCTATCGCCATCTGGACTGGCCTCTATTTTCTTAACTAACCTCAGAATCACTGAGATGTTTACCCTTTTTGTCTTCACAGATATTCTTATGGTCTGTTTGGTTTTCTTCTGTTCAATAAATTACTGGTCTGCAAATTTTAAGTCACTAAAGCTTAGGAAGTAAGTAAATCATTTTTCTCAAAAAAGAAAAACAAACAAACAGATCCTACTTACTTTTAAAAATCCTTTACCTTCAAAAGAACCAAGGGATTTTTAAAAAGCCATTTTAAGCACAACCGCACTCTTTTAAAATCAAATCTGACACACGATGCTGCTGATTTAATGACCTCTCACCTACAGAAATGAAATGGAAATAATCTCAGTTCCTCTGCTGGACACACTCATTGTTTACCCCTGCCATCTCTCTACACTTCCCCAGTCAGTTAAATAGATAAGCAATTTCAAACTAAAGCTGTTATGTGCTACAGGGAACAAGAAGTGTACATACAGATCTACTGACCGCAAGTTGCTTATAATCTAGGGGAGAGAACATTTGCATAGAGTATAATAATTAAAACAAAAATTGTTAACATGTGAGCCTGGTATTATTTTCTGCACTTCATTAACAAGCAAACTGAGGCCCAAGGAGATGAAGTCATTTGCAAGGTCACACAGGTGCGAAACTCAGGCAGTTTAGCTCTATGTTCTATGCCCTTGACCATTAATCTGTTTAGAACAGGAAATATAAACTGAAACATCAAAATACATGCCATTCACTCACACACACACACACACACACACACACACACACACACACCCCTGCTAGAAAGCCTGAATGGGAAGCAATGTCAGTTTCTTTTTGTGACTTTATAGCCTAGAGCTGGAAAACAAAGGTTTTTTGGTCCACATGACATTTGGGTTCAGCTGTTAGGAAAAACCTTTTTAAAAAATCGAAGCATTTCAGTATGGTTTGTTGCTCCCATGCAGTTAAATCAAGGGGTGTGTTTAAGGGGCGCTCATCTTAGGCCCATACTCAGTATGAATGGAGGAGGAGACTCTAATATTCACTCCCACCGACAGCAGGGAGGAGCCACCTGGGAGAGGAAGCACCAGCACCGATGTTGCCTCACTATTTAGATTGAGGCTATATATGCCCATATGGATTTTTTTATCACTAGTTTTTTTAATCACTAGTTTCTTATCACTACTCCTGATTCTAACACATCAGGCTCCTGCGACCCTCATGTGTGTCGGGATAGAGAAGGGCTCTGTCACTCCCAAAAGCTCCCCCCTGTAGTCAAACCCTTTGCCCAAACCTAAGCCTTGACGACCCCTGATCGGGCCTCTGTCCCTATACTTTTGTCTTTTCAGGATGTCATATAAATAAAACCATATGCTCTTTAATTTTCTGAAACTGGATTCTTTTACTTGCATGATGCCTTTGAGATTCATCCATGTTGCTACAGGTATCAATAGTTCATCTTTTACACCGCTGAGTAGTATTCCAACATAGGGTTATACCACAGTTTATTCATCCTGTGCATAATCTGCCTAGTTCTGGGTGATCGATCACCAATAAAGCTGCTCTAAACATTCAGATCCACATTTTCAGGTAAATTTAACTTTTCATTTCTCCTGGGTAAATACCCAGGAGTGGGCAAGTGTGTACTTAATCCTGTGAGGAACTGCCAAGCTGTTTCCTTGAGTAGCTGCCCCTCACCCTCCTCAGCACTTAGCACTGTCTTTTTAAATAAAGCCATTCAAACAGGTGTGTGATGATGTCTCATTGTGATTTGTAACTTGCTTTTTTCTGAGAGCAAGTGATGTGGGCATGTTTTCATGGACTTATCTGCCATTCTTTGATATCCTTCTTTGATAAAGTCTCTGTTCAAATGTTTTGCTCTTTTTTTTAAACTGGGTTTTCTTAGATTTCTTTATATATTGTGAATATAAGTCCTTTGTCGGGGGATTTGCAAACATTTTCTCTCAGTCTATGGCTTATCTTTTTCATTCTCTGAACAGTGTTTCTCATGCAGTAATTGTTTTAAATTTTAATGAAGTGTAATTTCCCAACATTTTTTATGAGCTGTTTTTGGTGTCCTATCTCAAAACTCTGATCCCACGGCCACAAAAGTGTCCCCTGGCTTTTTCCCCCCTATAAGTCTTACTGTCATTTATTTTTAGATCTATAATGGATTTTGAGTTCATTTTTTTTTTACAGTGTGTAAAGATTAGGTCCAGATTCTTTTTTTTTTTTTTTGCATATGGCTGTCCAATTGTTCCAGTACCATTTGTGAAGACTTTCCTTTCTCCATTAAACTGCCTTGTACTTTGTTGAAAGTCGGTCTGTCATAGTTGCACAGCCTATTTCTGTCCTATGCACCTAGATGCCGATTTGTTCCTTAACACCACACCGCCATACGGCTTTACAGAGAGGCTTAAAGCCAGGTGGTGTGAATCCTCCAACTTTATTCCTTTTCAACATTGTTTTGGCTCTTCTAGTTTCTTTGCCTTCAGTATAAATTTTAAGAACAGCTTGTGTATATCTACAGAATATCCCGCGGGGATTTTTACTGAAATTGTGTTAACTCTAATTGTGATCTCAGGTCACAGATCCACCTGAGAGGGACCCAGAGTCTGTGCCGAGTCCTCCGATTCATGACCATGTGTATCCTTCCTGTGTGTTTGCTTTTGTCTATCAGACGTGAATTTTCCAATTCAGATATGTCCATACTGAAATGGGAGTGTGAAGTCCACTCTGAGGCCAAACACAAATACTTCTTTTCTGTTGAGAGCCCTGTAGAAACCTGTCACCTCAGGGCTAGGAATTCAATCATGTTGCTACTGACAAGAAAATAGCTCAGGCAGCTTTCCGAGCAGTATTCTCCTTCTTTCTTTAAAAACTGTTTTTACTAAGGTATAGTGTACACACAATAAAATTCATACATTTTAAATGTGCAGGTAGATGACCTGTGACAACAAGTACACGCTGTGACCGCTCCACCCTGAAGACAGCCCATGGTCCCGTGTCCCTGCCAAGTTCCCTCCTGCCCTTCACAGTCCGTGTACAGCAACCCCCCCGCCCCGCCCCCCAGCCTCAACAACCAGTGACTTCTGTCTACAGATGAATTTCCCTGGAATCCTACAGAGTGTACCCTTCTGGAGCTGGCTTCTTTTGTTCAACATAAGGCCTACGAAATAAATCTGTTGCGCCTACAGTAGGTAGTTTGTTCTCTGCCTTGCTCAGTATAGTCTTCTAATGTATGAATATATCACGATTTGGTTATCTATTAACCTGTTAATAAGCATGTGGATTGTTTCCAGTTTTTGGCAATTATGACCAAATGATTTGTGTACAAGTGTTTTCATGAACATACATTTTCATGGCTCTTGCATAAGTACCTAGGAGTGGAATTACTGGGTCACATGCTAAGTTATACTCACTTTATAGGAAACTGCTGAACTAATGTCCAAAGTGGTTGTACCACTTTACATTTCATTGTAAATAAAGTTACTCCACTTCCGTAAATAAAGTTACTCCACTTCAGCACCAACACTTGATGTTGCTAGTCTTTTACTTTTAGCTGTTCTTGTGGGTGTGAAGTGCTATCTTATTGTGGTGTTAATTTGCATTTCCCAGAAGACTAACATTTTTCATCAGGCTGGTAGAACTTAACTGCATAGTTAACTTCCGCTTATCCACACAACTAGGACCTGGGCTCACCTGGGTCACAAGTTATCAACAACAGGTCTGCGCCAGGAGGCAGTCAGGAACCAAGAGACAAGGACTGGGCATGTATCTCAGTCTATCTCCTAGACCAGGGGCATCAAACTCATTTTCACCGGGGGCCACATCAGCCTCGCGGTTGCCTTCAAAGGGCCGAATGTAATTTCAGGACTGTATCAATCTGCTTCTTAACAGTTAAGCGAGGGCTCAATGCGGCCTCCAGGCAGAAACAAGGTGTCGGCCGGATTTGGCCCGCGGGCCTTGTGGTTGCCCCCTGTGCTCTAGGCTTAGCGGTGCTTCCACCTCCCTCTGTCAGTAGGGATAACTGGACATCACACCTGAACCCTCAGGATCGGGGCGCACTGCAGTAAATCAGAAGAATGAAAGAGCGCTTACCTGCTATTTTCTTCCGCATCCAGGGACACACGAAGAGCCACACGAAGAAGGCGAAGAGCAGTGCCACCCCGAAGGAGATGAGCGCTATGGCCCATATGGGCAGGACCAGGCCGAGCACTGAGGGACAGAAACGACAGCAGGGGCCTCAGGGGACACTTTCTGGAAGGTCAGCCTAGTATCAGCATACTTTCTGTCCCCCCAACCCAAAACCAATCACCTGGACTGTGTATTTATAATGGTCTCCATTAAAAAAAATATGCCATACTTTTTGGAATAGAAAGCTGTGTGTTTAAGACACACTCCACCTTGTGAATATGTGGTTAAAACAGTCAGTAACCTAAATATTAAAAGTTTTACCCATTTGGCACAAGCAGCCTATTAAGTGGCAATAAAACCATTTGCATCTTATCTCAATGTCTAAATCCCCCAGTGGACAAACGTGGCTGAGAAAAGGTGCGTCATCCCGTGTCCCGTCAGCCAGCCCAATGCCGCAGCCGCAGCTGCAGGGCGTGATGCGGAGCCGCCGCCTGCGGTTCCCCACGAGCCATCAGCCCTGCTTTCACTGGGCGTGCCACTGTGACCACACACATGAATCTGTTTAAAAATCAGCTTAGGAATAAAGGAGTTTTAACAGGACGTTGACCTTCAAACGGAACTCTTTGGAGTGTCAATTCATGGAGTTAAAACACAGAAAACCTTTCCATTAAAAAGGCAGCAATGCACGCTAAGTTGCAATTACATCAGCCAATAAAAGGGCAGAAGTGCACATGGCTTCCCAGCACTGAAATGTCCCCCAAGTTCATCCCTCTGAAACGTGTTTGTCTTCTGTCACCAGCAGCAACAGGCACATTCCACACATATTCACAGGTTTACAACTTCACCGCGCCTGCTTGCACAGGGACACACGGTAGACATACAATACCACCTACAGCAGCCAGACTTGTAACAGCAGGAATTTGCAAGACAACCAGTACATGGATGATTATGGAAACGTGAAATAATTATAGTCCTCGGCCATAAAAATGAGGTAGATCTGTATGTACTGATAAGGAAAGAGGCCCGAGATCTAGTCAATCAAGAAAGACTGAGTGGATAAAAGTATGCACAGCATGACCCAATACATGGGCTTTTTAATATTTTATTTATCTTTAGAGAAGAAAGGGAGAGAAACATTAATGTACGGTTGCCTCTCTTGTGTCCCCTGCTGGGAACTGGCCTGCAACCCAGGCATGTGCCCTGACTGGGAATTGAACCGCGATCCTCTGGTTCACAGGCCCGCACTCAATCCACTGAGTTACACCAGCCAGGGCCACTACATGTTTTAAGATAAACACCCTACAGTTATTCTGCTACCATGAGCGTGAAGATGCAGCAAAAATTCTGGAAGGACACAAGGCTAGCTCCTGTGGAGGGACGGGAAATGCAGGGGCTTTCACGTCTTACTGCACATGCATCCATAACGTTAACTGTGAAAATACATAATAAGCATGCCACTTTTGTAAAAAATGTTTTTAAATGTGTTTGAGGAGGGAGCTACTAAAACTTTGCCCTTTGATTAAATAAACCTTCAATGATGCAAGCTTGTCACATCCTTACCCACTTTATACATACAAACCAACTCAAAGTCATTCAGTTAAGGTGTTACTAACCATTTTGGTAACTGAGAGGCAGAAGAGGCAGTTAGTACTCTACGGGGAGTGAATTAGCATATGTAAATGTGAAAAACAAAGAACTAGAAGTGCCTAGCTTAACTACAGCTAAGGGCGCACAGGTGGCACTAGAGACACTTAGGGGACAAGACCACGCCTCTTCCAAACCCCTGGGGACTCCCGGGGCTGTGCTGCGCTGCCTTAGGGGCAGCCAGCTCCAGCCCCGGCTTGGCCCCAGAATCCGAAGCCTGGAGCTGCTTAAAAAACCATGGGGACTGACCTCACCAGGCCACAGCTTCCTGGCTTCTGCTTTCTGTCTCCATGTCGGTGTCTAATACATGTGATAAGGAATCACTCCAAAGCTGTTTCTTGCCAAGCTGAATGGTAACTGTTAATTACCAACATCAAACTGACCGACTAACATCAACATGCATCACTCTTACAGCTGAAAAGTATCTGGGTTTTGAAGAGGTTTCCCATGTTTCCCTTGGCTCCTGGTTTAGTTGACGGTAAAATTGTTAGTTGGGCTACTTTTGACTTCATTGTGCTAACCTGATCTGTGAGAGGCAAGCCCTGGACCCTGTGGGGAGAGAGAAACGACTTGGGGGATGTATCATGAGTGAACCCTTTTGCTCTCAGATCTATTTTTCCATCCATGCCCAGCACAGCCCACAACAGAAGCAGAAAAGGGCTGCTTTCTGGGCTTCTTCCAAGCCCATCTCAGTGCCCCCTGCTGGGGTCAAGTGGGATTCTAGACGGTGTCAGGACCAACATCCAAAAGCAAGAGACTGCAGTCAGTTATAAGTTTTCAATCCGTTTCTTAGACAATAAGCCACAATGTCACCCGTTCCTTGAACCTTTACTGTCAGAGTCACCTTTGTCATTGGTTGGGTCTGGGACATGGCCAGAAAGCTCTGAGGTTACCCTCCGAGTGACAAGGAGCTGGAAGGGAGGGCAGGGACAAACACACCACTGAAGCTGGGGCGGTGGGGAGACAGCAGAACACCGAGGAGGAAGAGGAGCGGAGGGAAGCGGGCAAACGGGAAAGTCGGTGGTGGTAAGACAGGACAGAGGAGCAGGACAGGAGCAGACTTTGGGGCCCATCACGGTGTCCCAGCAGGTCAGCAATGTGGCAGAGCATCCACAGAACGCAGGGTTTACTTCTACAGCCTGCATGTGAGGAATGCAAACCGACAGTTATAAGTAACCGAAGTCTACTAGATACATGAAATCAAGTTTTGTGGATAAAAAACAATTAAATAAGACTTCCGCCAAGATGGAGGCATAGGTGGATGTGCCGTGCCTTCTCACACAACCAAGTTTAGAGACAACTAAATATTAGCAACAGAAAACACAGCCAGAAAACGGAAAATTGAACTTTTCGGAAGTCCGTTAACAACAAATTCTTCAGCCTGACCGGTAAGGGGCGAAACCAGCAGCTGGTGAAGGGTTGCACAGGAAAACTCGGTCAGACGGACTCAGGCGCGGAATCCAGGCGCAGGGTTCGACCTAGTGAGCGACCTCGTGAAGGAGACAGTGGGGAAGCGGTGCTGCGTGTTGACTGTGGTCGCCCATTTGTGTGCGAGCGGACAGGTGAGGGAGTGGGCGGTTGGACCTGGGGGTCCCCGTGGCAAGCGGCAGTAGAGGGCGCTGCCATTTCCCCGCTCTGACCACTCCCCCACATACAGCGTCACAACCCAGCGACCTGGGAGTCCAAGGCTCCGCTTCTCACACTTAAAGGGCCAGAACAGACCAAAAATGTCGCAAGTTCTCAAAGCCCCAGAGCCCATAGATCTAAGCGACGAAGAAATAGCAAAACTCTCAGACGCACAGTTTAAAACACTGGTCATCTGGATCCTCACAGAACTGGTTGATTATAGCCACAAATTAGACAAATATATGAAGGCGAAACTAATTGAAATGAATGGAATTGCACAGGACACCAATAGCAATGAAAAGGAAACTGGGACTCAAATCAATGGAGTGGACCAGAAGAAAGCAAATAATGGCCAAACAGAAAAGGATGAAGAAACAAGAATTCAAAAAAAATGAGGAGAGTCTTAGGAACCTCCAGGACATCTTTAAACGCTCCAACATCCGAATTATAGGGGTACCAGAAGGGGGAAAGGAACAGCCACCAGTGGAAAACTTATTTGAACAAATAATAAAGGAGAATTTCCCCAATCTGGCAAAGGAAATAGACTTCCAGGAAGTCCAGGAAGCTCGGAGAGTCCCAAAGAAGTTGGACCCAAGAAGAAACACACCAAGGCACATCATCATTACATTAGCCAAAATTAAAATGAAGGACAGAATCCTAGAAGCAGCAAGAGCTAAGGGGACAGTCACCTACAAAGGAGTCCCCATCAGACTGTCAGCAGATTTCTCAAAAGAGACCTTACAGGCAAGAAGGGGCTGGAAAGAAGTATTCCAAGTCATGAAATCCAAAGACCTACAACCAAGATTGCTCTATCCAGCAAAACTTTCATTTAGAATGGAAGGGCAGATAAAGTGCTTCTCAGATAAGATCAAATTCAAGGAGTTCATCATCACCAAGCCCTTATTACATGAAATGTTAAAGGGATTTACCGAAGAAAAAGAAGATAAAAAAGATGAACAGCAAAAGGACAGCAAACTCACAGTTATTAAGAACCACACCTAAAACAAAAGCAAACTAAGAGGACAGCTAGATCAGGAGTGGAAACATAGAAATGAAGATCACAGGGAGGGTTAGCAACAGGGGAGTGGGAGGAGGACAAATGGGGAGAAGGTACAGAAAATAAGTAGCATAGACAGTAGGTAGAAAATAGGGGGAGGGCAAGAATAGTATGGGAAATATAGAATCTAAAGAACTTGAGACATGTGGTCATAAACTAAAGGGGGGGAATGGTGGGGCAGGGGGTGTTCAGGGTAGAAGGAAATGAAGGGGGGAATAGAACAGCTGTAATGGCGTAATCAATAAAATATATTTTAAAAATTTAAAAAAATAATTAAATACAAAAACTTAGCATGGGAAAGTACAAAAACCAATGTACACCCAAGGGAGAACTTCTGAAAATTTTAAGGTAAGTCTACCTTAAATACAGTCTACAGATAACAAAAATTTTTAACAGAAATCCTTTGTATTAAATTGTCTTTCTGTGAGGATCTCAAACTGTTTCCCAATAATTACCCCTTAGGAGGGCAGTAAAGTCTGGCACACCCCTTCACTCTGTGCACAGGCAAACGAGGACACGGTTTGAATTGCTCTGGACCCCTCAGCCAGGAGGGGCTGCCAGGAACCCTGGCTGGGCGCTCCCAACCCCCGACCTCTGCTCCAGCCTCCCTTCAACGGCCTTTCATCTCCTGCCCTTTCCAGTTTCTGAACAGTAGAGATATGATGAACAGCAATTTAGCTCTAACCTCAAGCATCTTTACAATCCTATTTCCAACCCCCCAAAGATCCAACGATTCAAGTGACTCAGGGAAGAA